TCTCATACTTACCATATTTAATTATTAATTTTATACCAGTTTTTTTTTTTTTTTTGCCAATTTCTAAAAAAATTATTTCCTTGATTTTGCTGCTTACAAAATGATATAAAAGTTTAAGACTTTAAGATTTACATGTTAACATAATAAAACGATACGAAATGTTAAGACTAAAAGTATTACATAAAAAAAATCAATGTAACGAAATGCCTTTTTCGCAAACTTTCCCTATTGCGTAAAACATATAAGGCTTTACCGAGGAAAGAGAGGATGCGACGGTATCTTTTGCCCTAAGGGTCTAGGGGGTAAAGGAGACAATAGGCGGTGGTAAATATTCTAAAAATCAATACTTTTGCTCGGGTAAATGTTTTTTAAGGAGAAATACAAGGGAGAGAAAATTAGTAAGGAGGAGAGAAAGAAAAGAGCCGAGAAAAGAGTATTTATTTATGTTCTCTCGACCCGACGAGCCTCGCTCACTTTTCCCGCTTTCGTTCGGCAGCACTGTTTTTTTTAACAGTAACACGGCTCATTCGAAATTACATTTCTTATTCCCCATTTTCCGCAATAGGGAAAGTTTTAGGAAACGCCTCCGCAATTTGGGAAATTGCTTCGTCTCCCCGTGTGCTGTGTTTTTTTTGCTGCGTTTTTTAGGCTTTACGGCCTGACGGCCTAGATATAAAAAGTGGGAGTTGGGAATTAGTGTGTTTTTTTGCTTTTGCTTGATTTTTGCCTTGTTTTCGTTTGGATTTTTCTAATAAATCGTCCCTTGGCGTTGCGAGGCGGGGTGGCTTTTTTAGGTTTTGGAGAGTTGTTTTTAGCTGTGGTTGGTTCGGGTTTGCTTAGTTTTTTGTTGTTCTTTTTCTTGGCTCAATTGAAAAATTTACGGATTAGTTTGAAGACGAAGATAATGGCGAAAATGATGATAATATAAAGAGCGTAGGTGGTTAGTTCATCCGCTTTTTGCCGAAAGGCTTGTAATTGTTCTTCTTTAACGTAAGAACGAATGTTTTCGTTTTTGAATACCACATCATTAATTTGTTTAGCTGTTCGTTCTACTCTTTTCATTCCGTAATCAAACCAACTTTTTATCGTGTCTCATTTGTTATATTCACCTGATTTTTCT